GAATTCTGGGAGTTGAAGTCCACACATCTTAAAGTGGCTAAGGTTGAGAAACACTGCTCTAATCTTTCCCGTGCTCCAGCCATAACTGTGCTGGAGCTGGCAGAAGAAGTGCAGCCACATACCAAATACTTTGCCAGCACATAAACTCTTTATGGTACCATGTCCATGTTTTTGGCAGGTTGTGCCACGGTGTGTGAAAACAATGACAATGACAGTATGAATAGTGCCTCTTGGATTCCCATCTTTCTTCCTCTTCTTGCAGCTACTGGACTGGTTGGAAGCATAGTGCAAGCTGGATCAACACCCTCCTCCTCTCAAGGAACTGGAGGCAACCAGCAGGCTCAGATACAGAAGGAAAAACAGGTTGTTTCAGAGAGTGAAACACAGGAACTCAGGCAGGTACGTTGAAAGCCGTTCAGGGCAGATAACCTGCAGGTAACGTGACTTGATAAATACACTTTTTAGCAGCTTCATTTTTATTTTATTTTTATTTTTATTTTTATTTATTTATTTTTTGCTGTGCTGACCAGGCCTCTCTGGAAGAGAGGGTGGAATTGACAAAATCTGACCGGTTTAATGTATGAGCAGAAGGATTGTGAACGGAATAGTAATGCTTGCTTCTTGCAAAGGATCACATTCGCCAAAGACATTCAGATGTGTACTTAGGAGAAAGAAAAGTGTAAGCTGTGTCCTAAAGTTCAGTTTATTGAAATTAATGTGAAATGTATCTCTTAGCAGTCAAATGTCCGCGCTTAAGATGTATCTGTCTGCCGTGCCCGGTTCTCGGCACCCTAGATCAGTGTTTCTTAAACTGATTTCTCTCGGGACCCCTTCCCACTTTTAAATATTAGGGAGGACCCCAAAAGAGCTTTCATTTGTGTGGGCTACATTTACCTGTATTTGCTGTATTAAAAATTAAAATGGACACAGTTGCTGCTGCTACTGCTTCTCTCGATTTTAATATTGTATTATTTTTCAGCGTAGACTGGCAAATAACTTTGATTTCGAGGATTCCTGAGAGGGTCTTGGGGGACCCCCAGGGATCCTAGCGCCACGCTTTAAGGAACACTGCCCTAGATGATAATTCCTCAGCCTCCTTTTTGTCCCTAGAGCCCATGGGAAATTTCCCCAGTCACTGTTTTCTCAGCCTCAGCAAGTGAAGCTTATTTCTTGTAGTACAAAGTAGGTGGGTAGGTCCTGGCACCCTTGCTTTCTTTAAGTTGGGTGTGGGTGTTCGGAATACAGCCCTCACCTACTAGAGCAATGTTTCTTAACCTCGGCAACTTGAAGATATGGGGACTTCAACTCCCAGAATGCTGGCTGGGGAATTCTGGGAGTTGAA